ACATTAACTCTTCTTGTCATACAGTGAATAGTCATGTAGTGGAATAAGGATAATGAAATATGTCACAAGAACAGAATCTAACAACTGTTGAGAACGGGATTGCAAGAATGAAACTTCAAGACACGACCATAAATGGAGCAGATTAAGTTGAAGTCGGTTATAGAAAAAGAGGCCTTTCAGTGCATTTAGATATGATAATTGATGATGGGCAAAGCTCCTAGCCAAGTCTGCTGCCCTGGCAACGAGGACTGACAGCTTCTTGCAAAGGGGTGTGACAAAAAATGAGATAAATTCTAAAGCTGTGCCAACTTCACTCTGTGCTCCTCAGAGTGCCTGATGTGTTTTTAGCCCAGCCAACAATGCAAGTTCTGCTCTCTTTGTGCACACAGAGCTCTCATGTGAAATTCAGAGCTTTGAGTGTGAAAGAGGTTCAGTACTAAATTTTAGGTATTGTTTTGAAAATCTTAAGCGTATATTGTTTTGCGTTTTTTAATTTTCATCTTTACCTGCATGCAAGCTTTATCTCCCCTCTCCCTCCTCATCCCTCCAAGACAGAAAACAGAATCAGTGTACCTTTGGTCTAGTCAAGCCTAGGTATTCTGGGAAAAATCAGCTTTCCTGTGTTGTCATAGTCACTGAAGGTTGAAAATAGGATTTATAGTCATTGTAATTTTTAATCATGGAGTCCTTCCAGTACTGCTTAACTTCTTCATACTCCTTGGGCTGTATTATCTATTTCAGAAAGATAAGAAATTGATAAGAAATATTTATATAACAGGTAATTTAAAAATTATTTTTAAGACAATACTGACATTATAAGTAACACTTCAATCTAAGTGTTAGAGGGTAATGGAATTTTTAATAGTTCTGTGAAAAAGACAATTTTCTGGGTAAAAAAATAAATTGTGAAATCCATGGTTATTTTTGTTATCAAGTTCAAAAGAAACATCAATAAGAATGTCAGTGCCTGAAGTCCTTTAGTCCCCTTCAAAGTATATATACTTAAATTGGAAAGTTTTGTAATAACAAAACTTTCGTCTGTGATGGTTCTGTTGCAGTCACCTGGAAAACAGTGGTAGAGGCATATGAAAGAAATAGGAATAGCATTGGATAAAACAGCAAATTTTACTCTTGTAGAGACAAATAATCAGTAATTAACACTTTCAGGAATCTGGGCAGCTCAGGGACATGGATTCCCTAAAAATCAAAGTTCAACAGCAGTCTTCATAAAAATTACATTGGGTTTGCAATTGAAATCCCCAACAGCAGAAATGCAAAACAGAAGCCAAAATTCTACAAGGAATTTACCATGGACTCTTTCCTCTAGCATGGCTAAATACTGAAGAACTTATCATAAATTTTGCTTTTGCATGAAATGTTTTGCTTTCATGGCCTTGATTTGTTATGTGACATAGTGTGGAGTTTTTTTTTTAGCTGTTTTTTTTTGTTGTTTTGATTTTAGTTTGTTTTTAGATGGTTTGTTTGGGTTTGGTTTGTTTTTAAATTAAGGAATCTTTAAATTATCTATCTGGTTTTGTTTCTCACATTTTCAAAGCCCAAGATACTGTCAGAAAAAGAACATAGAAACATAGATCTGGAAAAAAAAAAAAAAAAAAAAAAAAAAAAAGAAATATAGACTGTCCTGAACTGTAAGACCTCCTCAGGGAGTAACCAAATGATAACATCAGTAATAACTGAAACTAGAATCACATTTTCACCCCAGAGGATCTCTAACTCATTTTCACAAGGATTGAGTCAGACTTTGATTTCAGCACTCTCCAGAAGTATATAAAAAGTGGCTTCTGTCTGCAGAGACAGATGTTCTAGTGTTTTTCTAAGTCCTCATCATTTCTCTCCCAGCACACCAAACCCTCATTGTCTCATTGTCAGAGACAGAAATAAACAGAAGGACATGAATTGTCAGCTCCCCGGTGGGCAGAGGGGTGATTGAACATAGACATTTTTTTTCAAGCAATTATTTAATTATTTAGAATTTTGTACAAAAGTTTTAATAGATTTCAAAAATGCTGTGATATATTTAATAATCTAAGACTGGATATTAAATTGGCCTAATAACTATATCTACTTATGTGCCATAGAAAGTGGTGGTTACTGATACTATTTCCATCACCTTTCAGCATGGAAACAGAAAATTTTATTTTGGCTTGAACTTAACTCTGAACATCATTGCATATTTTAGAAAACTCTGACTGTGTTTGGTTTTTGGAAGTGCTATAGAGGACCCTGAAACATATTCATACAAGACTAGCAGTGCTTAGAGACAGATACAGTATAAAAGTTCAACAAAAGGTGGTACAGACCCATAGCAAAGTAATTTTACGTACATACTAATTCTTTAACTACAGTTTAACTTCGTGCTTATAAAAGGACTCTAGCTGAAATTTGAATTACCAAATTATCTAGTACTCTTGTGTACTCAAAATCAAAACATTTCGTACACAGGAGATGATATTTTAAATACTTTTCTGCTAATCTCTTTTCAAGATACATGTATCTTCGAACATGTAGAGCTTACACTAGAGGATGCAGCTATGTGGAAAAAAAATCATTTTTGAAATAAAGGCTTCAGATGAGATTTTTCAATTGGAAAGGCCATGTTTCATAGTTTGTTATATATATGCATAGAGACATACATATGTTCTTCAAGAAAGTCTACAGCTGCCTTTTTTTTCCTCAAAGTTTCTCGAAGAGTAATTGCTACACACATAACTTGATATTACTTCAGAACACTCTGTAGAGTGTGGATTTCAGGAACATCACGTTTTGAAAAAAAAAAAAAGTCCTTAGAGGGAAAACTCATCAGTTCAGAAATCTGCTATAATGGTATTTATAAGTGAAGCTTAAATTAATAGCATGCAGTTGGGAGAACCAGCAATCCCTTCTTTATCTTCTTAGCTATCTGTATGAGGTCTGATGAGTTTAATTAATGAAGTATGTTCCACAGATATTCATTAGAAACATTCCTTCAGGTGGCATTCCATCAGTAGGATGCTAGCTAAAATAAGAATTTAATGCACTTCTTCTTGCTATTAAGTTCACTTGTATGCCCTACACCTCTAGCATAGCATTTCTAGTAAGACATTCAAAATTAACACCACTGTTTACTTATCCAATGCAAATTCCTTTGCTTAACACTTATACCTTCATGTTAAACACACTATGGACAGAGTGGAAAAATAGTTAGCATTGCTCTTCCACACCACAAGAAATATTAGGCATCACTTTAAACATTACGTGTTTAAAGAGCAGGCTACTTTGTTCAGTGTTAGTGCGTTCAACTAGCTTGTTACATGTATTTACATATTTTAACTCGCCTAGCCTCCAGAGTTTTTTCCGCTTTAGGGAAAAGGGAGGTGTTGCTCCAGCTCAGAAACAGATTGCTATCACCACCCAGAGGCCGGCTGCATGCAATTGCTAAAGGGCTTTTCCTAACTGGATGGGCATCGAGGGCAGCGGTGGTGATCCAAAGAATGTCGCTTGTAAGGCAAATACTAATGAAAGGTTACTCCTTGGGAGTGGATAATTGTTGTCTACAGATAATGTACCTCTAGGATTTTTAATTGGGGAAGTGGGATTAACAATGTTAAGTCCACCAGTTGCACACCTCTGGTAGACAGTCACTGCACTGGACTCAGCCACATAGTGGGATTGTGAACATCAATCTAAGGCTGTGTGTGATGATTTCTGAGCAGGCACACACAAAATATGAATCATGATTCTGTAATAATTTTAAATCAGAATTGTTCTTTTAAGTCAAAATTAGCCTACCCATTATAGAGGTAGGAAATGTAAAATATAATTCTGGGGATATTTTTTTAAATGCTAAGATGTGTGACCTGACTGGGAGGTTGTGTTCTTCAGGCATATTTGTACAATACATGCACCACTGAACATCCAGCAGCAATATCTGATTTCAGGGCTGTCATGGTGTCAACATTGTTTACAGTATCTGCAAGCTTCTCTTTATTTTTATTTATTTTAAAACTTTGACTACCAAACTCTGTTGACAGCAGAAGTCCTGTTAAAGTGATGAAAGTGTAGGCAAAATAATAAAATTATTAAATTTGAGAACAAGTACATTTTCTTTTTTTAAAATGTATTCTTAAATTTATTGCTTTGTTGCTGTGCTATAGAAGTAGGGAACTTTTCATAAAATGTCCACTTAGTCCTTCAGATGCTTGAGGTTTTTTTGGTTTTAACTTGTTTTTAAGAAATAAGTCTCTGATTCTTAACTTGAGCACTTTTGGAAATCCCATTATGCTACTTAGTATTTACTTTATGCTATTGTGACACAGATAGGGAGGAGAGTGAGGTGAGGTATTTCATACAGCAATGGATCAGGAGGATCTCTGTGAGATAATTATATTATATAGGCCTCAGAAACAGAAGCAACAACCAGTCTTTATGCTGAAAGACCATTAGGGATTTTCAAGACGACCTAATGCTTCTGATGAACTTGAATTCCACCGCTCATGTATTTTGAGACAGGACAATACACTGACTTCATGTTCTAAACCTACTGTAGTGGGTACACAGTCTGTTTCTTCGCATCCCTTATTCCTTTACCTGTAATGTGATAAATTATTATGTTCTTATTGCACTAAGTCAACAACAGTCAGGAAACAGGTTCCTAAATTAATAATGAATACAAAACACATACCTCTTTGCTATATGACATTTTTATAAGGTGATTACAGGAAGAATATCCTGAGAAATCTGTAATGAATAGGCCTATTAAAGCACTAAAATAATTTCGTAAGTGGTAATGTTTGAAGCTGGTGTATGTTTTAGCTGACTTGTGCATTATAACACCCTGAATCATGCACACTGAAACTCAGGATGGATTTCTAAACATACGCCATAATGAACAAAACAGAAGATTCACTATAGATGATGAGACCCTCTGGAGAGCACAATTAACTTTTTTTTTGGTTTGTGTGGGTTGTTTTGTTTTTTTTTTTTGTTTTTTTTTTTTTTTTTTTTTTTTTTTTCTGCTGGCCCAAACAGTATGTCTCATTTTATCGCTGGTAAGTTTTTCAAAGCAAGAATGTCTTTCAAAATAAATACTTGAGGAGTACTCTGGCTACGAGTCACGCAGACCCGTAAGTCACAAATACTTTGCGGTGCCGGTCTCCTTTTTCAGTCTCTCCGCCGTCTTCGGTCGCCGCCAAGGGCTGCCGGCTCCGGCCGGGGCCCGCTGATCGCGGCTGTGGCCGCAGCGGCAGCGACCCTCCCGGAAGCTCCGAGGGGCGGTGGCGCCCGGGGGCCCGCCCCGGCAGCCGGGGCCGTTCCGTCCCGTCCCGTCCGAGGGCGTTTTGGAGCCTTAGCGAAGCCAGTGCGGCCCGTCCGCCTTGAAGGCCGTGGAAGATGGGTTTCCTGCCCAAACTTAGCGGTGCGGTGGCGGGCCGGGGCGGGGGTGCCTGGCGGCGCTGGAGCCGACCCTGTGCGGCCGTCCTGCTCCCGGCCCCCCGCGGCCGCGCCGCCTCCTCCCGGGCGCTCGGCAAGTACGGCGAAGTTTTTCGCTCCTGCCTGGCGGAGCCCGAGAAGGTCTGGGGAGAAGTCGCCGAGCAGATCCAGTGGTACAAGCCCTGGGTCCGGACCCTGGAGAGGAGCAGCATGGGGAGCGGCTCCTGGTGAGTAGCCGAGTGCCCCGGAGCCGAGCGGGGGTCGGGCGGGGCAGGGGCTCAGCTCGCTGTCGCGGGAGAGAGGTACTGCCTGCCCAGGGCCTGCGGCTGTGCTGGGCTGGAGTCCTGTGCTCACCACAGAACTATCCCAGCATCTGTCTGGGGTTGTCGGTGTGCCGTCGCTGTTGGTGGAGATGGCTGCGGAGCTTGTTGGAGTTAAATGGTTACACTTGGTTGAAGCTAATGATTAAAAGCAGCGATGAGCGTGTTGGGATAACGGCATGTTAGCGTGGACTCTGGCAGGAGTGACGTGTGCATGTGTGGCTGAATGATGTGGGTGAGTGTGCCTGATGCTCCCCATCTCACTCCTTTTGGGTCTGCATTGGCAATAAGCTGCCATGAACATGGGAAACCTGGCTTCAGATGCCAGGGAAGTCAGGCATGTGAAAACACAGCTGTATAAAAACTGTGGCTTTTGGGATTGTTCAATCTCAGATACTGGCTAATTAGGTTATAATTTAGAGGTTGTGGTTAAGGTAATGTTTGGCAAAGGCACTGGCGTTGTAATATATACATCAGTAAATAGTGAACTGTCCTAAGACAGAACATGATATCCTTCTTGCAAATTACTGAATAGGATTGTCAGTACTTTCTCAAAGGTAATGTTAAAATTTTGTGTGCCCAAGAGGCACCTTTGCCTCTTTTAAAGCAAGTTTACATCATGCTCTTAGGTCTTTTCTGAAGAAGCTGGTGCAGAATATACAAGGCAATGTAGGCTAAGGGTCATCTTTATTTGGTACATCAATGGTCTTTGCCCTTTTCGTATTTTTCTGGTTTGTTTTTGATTAAAAATGCTAATAATTCTAAATATGTAGTTAAAATATTAATAATTCTCAAATCTGTGCAAGTTAAAAGATATAGAGCCAGTGGAGTGGAACTGTGTTTCGTATTGGTGTCTTGTATCAGTGATTGACTCCTCTAGTAGTAAAAATTTATATGTCTTAAGCTAATTTATAAGTAACACCCAGCCATAATGGACTGTGTAACAGTGGATAGATAGGGTACTTGTGACTTTAATCTCAAGGTCACGGCACTATTCAGAACAGGGTCCTTGAGTCTTTGATCTCAAGGTTATGGCACTATTCAGAAAGTCCAGGTAGGATTGCCTGCATAATTAGGGTCTAGACAAGAGTGTAGAGAACAAGTCCTATGAGGAGCTGCTGAGGGAGCTGAGGTTGTTCAGCCTGGAGAAAAGAAAGCTCAGGGGAGACTTTATTGCTCTTTATAACTACAAAAAAGGGGCTTGTAGCCAGGTGATGTTCAGCCTCTTCTCTCAAGTAACAAGTGATAGGACCTTAAGACGGAATGGCCTCAACTTGTACCAGGGGACTTTTAGGTATGAGGCATATTGCATATCAGGAAAAACTTCCTCACTAGAAAGGTTCTCAAGCATTAGAACAGGCTGCCCTGGAAAGTGAAGGAACTACTAAACCTGGAGGTATTTAAAAGTTGTGTAGATGTGGCACTTACAGAGAAGGTGTAGAGGTGGACTTAGCTGTACTGTGTTTAATGGTTGGACTTGATGATCTTAAAGTATTTTCCAACCTAATTGGTTCCATGATCCTGTGATTAAGGACCAGTAAAGCTCATTGACTGTAGCATTCCCAAGCAGTATAATGAAATCAGTACAGTGGTTACTTTTGAAGGACTAAGAAATGAGAATATTATGCATGCAAATGGACATAGTTTTGCTATCACATTCTGTCAAACAAGTGTGGTTTGATTTGCTGAGCAGGATAAGCTTGTTTATTTAAAATAAAAGAGTTAGGTATTTGTAAAGTGTTACTTCTCAGGTGGAATTTACTTCACCTTACGAGAGGGAAAAATGGATATTTCATTTTCAGTGTCTGAAGTCAGACTTGTCTTCCAAGCTCTTTTCTGGCCTCACTTTTTAACTTGCATTTTTCCTCCTCTGTGGATGCAGAAACGAAATTATCATGGTAATGTGAGCAAATAACTGAATGGAGGTTTTACAGAACACAGAGCTGGACTCTTTTCAATGATGTCCAATGAGAGGACCAGAAGCAATGAGCACAAACTAGAGCAGTCATATTCCCTTTATTAATGTGAGGGTGACTAAGCACTGGCTCAGAGCTGGTTGTGGAACCTCCATCCTTGGAGATATTTAAATGTCACCTGGACATGGTCCTGGCCTACTGTGTCCAGGCTGACTTTGTAGAAGCCTAGCAGATAAGTGGGGTAATGTTTATGTCTCGAGTACCCATAGCCAGATAGCTGTGGAGCCACCCAAGGATTGTTTGTAATTATAATACCAAGAAAGATCAGGCTATGGCTGGAGAAGGGGACCCTACAGAGGGAGGGCATCACTTTTCTGGGATAAATGTCCTTGTTCTAGCCCCTGGAGATAAGCAAAACACAGTACAGGGTAGGAAGAAGGTTGAGAAATGGGCATGGACTGTAGCGGGATTGGGACTGCCGAAGACTACTGATGCCCTCTGACCCATTTTCAGAAAGATCTAGAAGAATGGATCGTGCATGCTAACTAATTTGCATAGAAAACAAGAAACTTATCTATAGAATGGTACCTCCACAAAGCTCAGGTGCCAGTGTGCCTAAGGTCTTTGGACAGATCATCCAGCTGATAAACTGGATCAACACCAGAGCCAGGACTGGTGATCTCCTTTTCTTTCTTTCTTGTTTTCTTTCTCTCCCCCCACTCTTTATTTAATCTCTTTCTTTTACCTTGCACCCTACCTTTATCCAAAACCCACTGCCATGTTCTTGTACTAGGCTATCAGGTACTAACTTATACAGATTTCCATACAAAGTGTGTGGAATTTACTAATAAAACTTCATACATTTTTACAGGCCCACTGACTTCTGCAATTCTTTTTGACCATGAGCCATTTATGAATCTTAGGTACCGCCTTCCCATTAAGGGTGGGATGCCACAGACCTGTCTGAGCAGGTCCCTTCCAACCTCAAGCCAGTCTGTGGTGTTATACAAAGATGCAAGTCTGAAGACTTAACATCAGGCTGTAATTGTTTGTATGCCAAGTACCTGTTGTTCTGTGGATTATAAAATGTTTAGCAATTCAGATTTGTATAAATAAATGTCTTAATGTGCAACATGCAGTTTTATTTCTTTTTCTAAGTTCACTTTAAATGACAACAGGCTGTATATGATAAGAGTGTTGTACTTTAATGCCTCTGAAATCCCAAGTGGTTACCAGCAGTCAGTGTGCTCAGCAGGGTGACAGATGGGCAAGTTCTTTGAATATAAGAGAGAGAGAACATAGAAGAGGGTGTTTCAGAGGACAGGCTGAAGAGAAAACAGATAATGGAACTCAGCTGAGAAAGAGGCCAGGCATCCAAGCCAAAACCATAGCTTTCTGGCTTAACAGAGTAAAAATGGAGTTCTAGGTCAGAGAAACCTTGGAAGCTGTTTATGGGGCCCTGAAAAATAGTACAAGAAGGTCATGTATGCGCGTCCTGAGTTAGAATTTGTTTCCTCTTTTGGAAACATTTTATTAGATCAATTGGAAATATCAATTCTTTTTTCAATACCTTTGCTTTTGGTTGCAAAACCTGAGATGTGCAGAAGCAGATGCTTTTCATATATTTTCCAGTGTAATCTACTTCAATTGAAGAAGTTGAAAGAGGCTGTTACTGTATTTAGAATGTAGGTATAAGGCAATTCTTCCTCTCTAAGTACTGTAAGAGCATGATAGAAACTTGCAACATGCCCCAGTGCATTTTCTTCACTCTCTGCCATTGGAAATACCAGTATTATGTCAGTGGAATGCAAAATGATTTCCAGAAAAGAAGTGATCAGTGTCACCATCCCCTGACTTGTATTTTTGAAGCAGTAATCCCAGGTGCTGTTCTAAACTGCATCAGTGGCTGATACAGCACAAAACATCTGGTTTTATCTACATGAAATACAATAAGAGCTATGAAGCATGGTTGGTCAAGAGAAGGATGATGGAATTGAAATTGTTTGATCTAAAAGCCAAAATGGAGACCTAGGTTTTAAATCACATAGAATTTGGTAAAGAAGTTGAAGGGAAAATTTCCTTGAGTAGGCTTCAAACAGGTCAAAACTGTCTTCATTTGCACCATGGGAAACATAGTCTTTAGATATTAGACAGAAAAATCTTTTTAATGCTGAAGTTGGTGAAACCTTGAACAGATTATTTTGGAATCTTGCGGAATGCCAGTTAAAAGGATTAAAAAAAGTATTTATTTAAGAATGTAGAAACAGTTTTCTCTAACATGTGCAGGCAGAGAGATATTTGCAACGTATGTTTTTCCTCTGATGCTAAGACATACATGCAATATATAATCCCCTTTGAAAATGTTGCCCGGATTGCTATTCAAATGTTGCTTACACTTTTAAAACTGTGTCAAGGTAAATGTACATAATAATATCTCAAATTGTCTGATATTGTCTAACATTTTATTCAGCTTCTACTCTCATTTTAAAAAGCGCATGTCTGCTTTTCTGATCCTATCAGAACCCCTTTCCTTCTCAACAGGGTAACAAAGCTCTCATCACACCTTCCAGATAGTCTTGGTTTTTGATTAAACCTGCAGTTATAGTTCTTTCACACACTTGTTTGTAAGTAATTGCTAAAAATTCATGCTGATGTTGCCATGTATCTTTAGAAGAACCAAAGCTCTGGTGCCTGCTCATTTTTTGACCGTTTTAAGTGAATATGCATAGCCCATGTGTTCCCTTGTTAATATCATCCTACAGTGATTTAGTAGAAAAATCTGAATCTTAGAGAAGTGTATTGTGTAATCTCTGTATTATGTGAAACAATTCCAGATCCTTTATTGTTCATATTGTTTTCCTTTTTGGGGAAGGGTTTTGTAGACTTTTGTACAGAATGGTTTGTGACTTTGGTGGTCCCCCACTTTCTCCATATTAATGGCATTGTAAAGGAGTTGCAGTAAGATAACTGTACCCTAAACATCCTAATTTCATAATTGCCGTTTTTAGACAATAAAGACTATCCCACAGCATCTGTGTATGAATATAAAAGTAATATATAAAATATCGTGATTTAGATCAGTCCTTTACTAAACATGAGAAGTGAGGGAGGAAATACTTTTTTAAAGCTAGTAGTAGGTTACTTTAGGTCATATGTTATTTCTAGTTGCATTGTAATAATATGTTACCACTGTACAGTTGTCCCCATAGAGCCTTTTGGAAACTCTCAACTGTGTATTTTTTGTATATTGCTATTTTGCTGCTGAGATATACATGCAGATACAAAAACAAAAAGGGCATCATTTAGTGTGAACTTTAACTTTTAGGTACTGTGTCATCTTTCAGTAAATAAAATTGTCTTTGTGTCTGGTACCTTCTGTATTTTTGTACTTTCAGGATTATGCTGCACTAGAATTTTCTTTTTCTGTGTAAAATGACTAGAAAAGTGAAACCTAAGTTTGTGAAATGTTTTTTTCTTTAATTGGAAAATAAGAGTTCTCTGTAAATGTCTAAGTATTGAAGAGGCTATGACTCATATTACTTTACAGAAAATTTTGAGTCACTGATATAAAAGAGGGTTGTCAAATACATTATAATCATATGGTCTTATAACTTGGAATTCCTTTCATTTAGCTACAGATGCTTGTATGTTTAACTGTTATTGCCAAGGGATAAGACTATTTGGAGTCCTGAACCTGTTCTCCTTGAAAAGGGTTTGTGTGTGTGCCAGTACAAAGTAGGATAATAGCATATTTTCATAATGTCAAATTAATTTATGTGAATTTATGCTTTTTCTGTGATACCGTACATTTAAAAATCAGTGATTAATGCATAGTAAGTTATACCAAGACCAATTTTAGCAGATTCTTAGTTAAGTCAGTTAAGATATACTACTTTAACTTCTCTATTTTCAACAATAGTCATATTTAGCTTGTTGAGTCAATCATGAGGTTACAGAATAAAAAAGAACTTCCTAAAGTGAGTATAATGTTTCGAGATTTGAATTTGATTTGATTTATTTTTAATTGAATTCTCTCATGCGTTAAAAGAAGAACACAAAATGACCAAAAAGAAAAGTTGTCTTAGTTTGGAAGGCTAGCTATTACATACTTCAAACTTCTTTTGTAGGTTTGTAGGTGGAGAGCTGAATATCTGTTACAACGCTGTAGATCGTCATGTTGAGAATGGACGAGGAGACCAAATTGCCATTATTTATGACAGTCCTGTAACAAATACCAAAGACAAAATAACATATAAGGAACTTTTGGAAAAGGTATGTTTCAGAATAACCTTGTTAATGAGAAGGGGCGATAAATATTGCACAGTAGGTGGATATCAGAGAGGTAGAAATTATCTACCTCACTAGTTTACTTTTTGAACTTGTTTGTGTTTGATTTCATTTTCTTTTTCCCTAACAGATCTTAATTAAAGGGTTAAGCTTAGCATTAGTTAAATCTCTTGACAGTTGCTGTGATGAGCAAAAGTACAGTTCCATAGAAATGAAATGTGTACCTTGGCTGTTGCTACACATAACTGAATGTAAGCCTAAAATTAAATTTATGGGGGAACTTCAAAGAAAGCTGTTACCTGCCCCTATGTAGGCTGTCATGAGGGTGCTGGTGGCCCTTCTGTCTGGAAGGTCTGGATTTTGACTTCCCTGTTGGCTGAGTAGCTTACTCCTGATAAGATTGTGAATATCCAATTCTGCCTCAACCCATTCAGATTTACTCCATGCCTCACCATGGGTTGTTGCCACCATGGATGTTTGCAGCCTGCCTCCTTGAAGATTCTTGGCTCTCAGGGCTGTCGGGAGGTTTGCCCTTATGCTGCTACTCTTGTTTAGCTGCCTTTTTTTTCCAGTTACATGTAGCAGTTGAACTTAACACTGAGTACAAAGAAATGTTGGAGTTGGACTGGTATTCTTCCTTAATTTATTTCAATGTGCAAGATGGATTACTTTGAATGTAACACTCTCTGTACTTAAGATATGCATGTAATGTCTGGAGTGATGTGAACCTGTGGTTTAAAATGTGGAATGAGGTCATAACTAAGTAATTCCGTTTCGAGGGGCTTATTCCACTGTTGCAAGAAAAGAGAAGTCATACAGCTACAAAGAGATTATAAACCTCGTATGCATTCTACCTTTTAAGGAAAATATAGAAAACATGTACTCCTTAACAGTTTAGTTTTTTATTTATTTACCAAGTCCAAGAAACAGCATGCCATATTGTATGCTGGAGCTGGAACAGCTAGCTTTGATGTTTTAAGGAGTCAGAAGACTTTGAAAAGATCCTTTGTACTAATATATAATAATTACAATTTTGTGTATATATACAATTTTTGTTGTTGTTTGCCTTCAGTAATTGTGATATATACACAATATATATGCAAATAGATGTGTATATATGAAATCAATCTATACATATGTTGCATATAACACTTGGTTAACTTTAATACAGAAATGCAGAAATACAACATTTTAATGTAAATTATCTTAAGTGAACTTGCTTGGTAGAAATTTCATTTGAAAAGAACTTGAAAAGTAGCCTTTTGTCAGCTTTTTAAGCTTGATATTATATTAAGTCACCTAAGTTTATGTCTCTGTAAGTGTATTAATTTTCTTAAGACATGGCAAATTTATGCGAAGTGAGAAAATTTTGCTAGTTGACATACACATCCTTTCATCTACATTTCTTACAGAGCATTGCCAAATCAAGTGGAAGAACTGGTTTAAGTTTTCTGGAGTATGTAGCAGTACTCACTCAGAAGTTCATTATAATCTTGCTAGGGGCTGAGTCCTATCTAAATACTATTTCTGAATTCTCTACAGTTTGTTCTAAATCAAAAGTAAATAAATGTGAAAGGCAATATTTGATATTAATAGCTTGTCTGTTGAAGCTTTCTGGACCACTTTGGTACAGTAAGTTAATTTTGTTTATCAGCTAGCTACCAGATTCCTGAAAACGAAAGTAACAAAGAGATCTGCTGAAAATGGGAGGGATGTAGGCTGTTGTATTTTTTTCATGGATCTTGTAGGTCTAGGAGAGTTTAGCTTGCATTGAAGGATTCTATGCTTGTGTGTCCCAGTCACTGTTCAACTCAGGAAGGTTTGGAATTCCTCTTTTGAGCATTTTGAATGGGATTTCTGGTTTTGTATCTTTTAAGAGGAATTCTTTTGGCCTGAACCAAAACTGCTTTTGGTAACTAGCAGGAGTTTACTTCAGAACTGAATGACTTAGAAACCTTAGCTGCTAATACAGCTGTAGTATTTGGTTGCTGGGTAAAAGTAAAACCATGCTTACTGGGTCCATGTGTTTGATAGAAGTGTAATTTATGCTCTGGTCTTCCAAGCTGAAAGCCTACTTGACTTTCTTATTATATCACTTGGTCTCAAGTGATTTTATTACTGAAATGTCAAATATATTAAAGTGAGTGAGCAGTTTTAAACGTGAAGAAAAGTGGAGAAATAGTGTGTTAGTTTTTGAGTGATAAAGTACACTACAGTGTATTAATGTAAATCATAAATGACAACACATTGTAACAAAGTGGAAGATTCGTGGCTTTTAATGATTTAATGAAATGTCAGTACTCTCTTTTCTGCCTTCCCCTTTTTTTTAGAAAGAGTGATTACTTGGATGTTTCAGGGCTACCACGTCAATCTGAAGGGCAATGTAAACCTGCTTTACAATGTTCCCCTGTCTTCCAAATAGTTGTAGATAGAGACAGTATTTTATTGTATAGTCCAAATGTTTCCTGTCTGTCAGATGGATGAGGGAAAGGGCACAAAGAAAATCATAGATACCCATGTATTGTATTGGATTGTTGTCTGCAGTAGCATTACAGTCTTTAGGGTGGGGAAATTAGGTCCAGACAAGCGATTACTGGGTTTGCACAGGTGACATGTAGTTCCTGTCTGCAGTGTGCTGTACACATGTTCTGCTTTAAATGCAATTTAGCTATGATAGATTTCAATAAAAATTATGTAAGTACATGCAGATCTCTTTGCTGTCTCCCTCGTATACCCAGGAACCAGTTATATAGCTTGTTTACAGGCACTGGGAGTCTTCTATTACAAAATTACTAATTAAGATCATTAAGTAATGTCGTTTTCCTTTAGCAGGAAAACAGTGCATTTTTCATAATTTGTAGTAATTATTTATGAAATAATGATAATGAATAATGATAATACTTATCCATTGTGTTTAACTATTTGTTGCCCACTATCCACAATTACAGTGACTATAAAGACACTCACTAAATATTATTTTTATTGCCTCTGGCCTTTTTGTCAACACTCTGTTTGAAAGTCAAAAGCAGGGAAGATAATTTGATTTTTTGTTTCTTTGAGAGAAGGTGATGTTAGCTCTGTGTTTGAAGATTTTAATGTTTTCACACTAGGAAGTACAGAAAAGTAATTACCTTTGAAAGTAGACTTTCTATCTTTATTTACAATTACTTTCACTAATTATACCTAGAAATCACTGTAAATGCTGGTGGTATGGCGATAGATGCTAGCTTTGTACATGTCCAGTCTTTGGTTTTTGTTGTGTTTTGATAGTGTATATCAGTTATATATGATCTTGATAGGTATTAATAAGTCTAGCATTAAAGATATTTTCTCTTGAAAATCAGTAATATTTGAGATAAGTGATCTAATCCATACAAATCATATAGATACCTAAATTTGTGTGAGTTTTCAGCTTGGTGTGGTGATGACTTTGCCTTACTAACATGTTGCTTCTTGTGATTGAAAATAACAGCACAGATTTATGCAATGCTTACAGAAAATGGGACCTACACAGTATCTTCTGATGCAACAGTACCTGCTTGGGGCTTCTGTGTTTCCATTTTCTTAAATGCTTGGGGAGAAGGTAGAAATGTGCTGTTTCATTGTGGATAGCTGTGAATTTAATGCAAAACCAGAGCAGATGCTCCTGGAGCTTCTGGGTGTTACTGTCTCAGGTTACTGAAAGTCTGAAAATATATTTCCACTGAAGAGAGAAACAGTGAGGTGGGAGATGGATATATAAAAGCAATGTGGGAGCAAAGGTGCAGGAAATAATGTCATTAGGCAGAGAGGTACAACAGTAGAAAAGAGCAGTTAAAACCAGTAGTGGGCATTTGATTTGTGCAGAGTGGTCCATCTGCTTCTTCTCTTGGGTACGTAAATCACTGTAGCTGATTTAGTATTGGTTATTTTTCAATGTCCTTACTGCATACAAAGCAGTTTGTGTCCTTTTCAATATATTTATGAATATTCTAGGACTGAATGTAGTTACTCTTTAAAAAGAGAAAACTCTAATTTTTAAATACTATAAAAGAAGGCGTTTCTTTCAGAAGGTGCCACATTGCCATGTCACAAGAAGCAGGTTGGGACAACTTCACAGTGCTTGTCACAGGCTCCCATGCTCACTATAATCCAACTTACTGTGTGGTAAATACAAATGAAATATTCAGTACTGCTTTTGTGACTGAATGTTGTGTACTGTCAAAGTAATAAATATTTTCTCATGGTATTGCAAGGGCATTGCTGCTGATCAGTCTATTGCGTTTCTTGAGTTCCAGTCCTTTGCTGCTGTACATAGTCTCTCTGAGGTTTCTGCATAGCAAAAATTAAAATCTAACAATGAGAGTAAAAATTAATTTTAAACCTAGATATTTCTCTGAATTTGTGTTTCCCTTTGGTTGAGAGTAGAAGGTCTCTTGTCTCAGATTCTGAGAAGTTTATAACACTTCAGTAAAGAAAATACCTATTGATTTGTGTTCAAAATTAGCTATTTAGGACAGAACTTACATTATGAAATGACCAGTTTACATTCATTCTAAAGAGCTAAAATTGAGAAATATAAACTGAATAAAAGAATGATTGGTAGACTGTCATTTAAACTTTGCTAGACATTGCTATTGATTTTTTTTGATGTACTGACTACAATAGTCTCCTTCCATTTTTATTTTACAAAAGAGAAATATATTAGGTTTTTTGAAAAAAAAAGAAATTGTCTTAAATTTATTGAACCTTGATTACATTTCATGAACTTTGTTTATTATGCTGGCTTGTCTCTTTGATGTCATGCATCTGTTGACTGTATGAAGGTTTTTTTTAATGGAGAAAACAGCAGATCTGGAGAATCTTTAAATATGAGTGTTTTGTCAGTACAGGTCTCCAAGTTAGCTGATGTCATGATCAAACATGGTGTGAAGAAAGGAGATCGTGTGGTTATCTACATGCCCATGATTCCACAGACAGTGTACTGTATGCTGGCTTGTGCAAGAATAGGAGCCATCCATAGCCTCATTTTTGGTGGATTTGCATCTAAAGAGCTTTCAGTTCGCATTGATCATGCAAAGGTAATAACCTGTTTGAAGCAACAAGCACCATTGCATTAGTTACTCCTATTAGTCAATGTCAAAAACCTGTTGTTTGGATTTTTTCCCAGACAGGATAACATTTCTCTTTGTGTGGCACACAGTTTGTTTATAATACCTATTGTTGCAATATGAACAAAGTACTATGTCTGTGCTGAGGTTGATACTTGTATATCAGACACCAAGTGAGCAATTTTGACGAAATTGTTGCTCCTTCTACAAAAGCAGGAGTTTAACACACTATTGTTTGTATAGAGTGTACTTTCTTTTCATGTTGGTCAGTCTTTTTCTACAAAGCATCTCCTTAATACTGGCTTTTGGTTCAGCATTTTCATCAAGGAAATGAGGAGAATTGTGCCAACTCTAAGTGATTTCACTGGCTTGTCTGATGTTTAGGCATGTTAGATAGTTCATTTGTTCAGCTATGTTATGATTTAGGAATAGTGTTCCCCAATTTATTGTTCTTATTGAAACACTCCAAACCTTATGTTGTTTGCTTGCTCCCCTCTCTCCCTCTTCCTCCCTGTGGTGGGATGAAGAGTAAAATTGGAGGCCTAAAAGGTAAAGATCAGGTTGAGGTAAGAACAGTGTGCTAGAAACACCAATGAAATAAATTAACAGTAACAGCAACAATATTCATAGCAGAGTGTGCAAGAGGCAAATGATTCACACGATGCTGAATATGCACTACCCCACCACAGCCTCCAGATAGGACTCATCCCACTTGACAGCTGTGGAAACAGTTGTCCTAAATAAATGACTGTGCAGATTACATAATTAATAGAGGTGAATGCTTTAAAGGCTCCTGTGTTTGGCATAAGTTGAGCTTATTTATAAAGCATTATGATGTATTTGTTACTGAAATAAAAATAGTAGTTGACTATTCTTAGTACCTTATATAGGCATATTAGTAGCTTGTGTATGTGTTAGTTTCAAACCAGCTAACAATGTAATGGCCTATTCTTGTTTTCCACTAGTGAACAAGATAAAGTCTTTTGTCACCTTGATCAATCACCTGAAGCATTCAGACTCTCTGTGGTAGCCATCTTGTCATTGAATCGTATTACTTGGATATATAAATTGAATCATACTGCTTAGATATATAAACCAGAGCAGGATTTTCTGTAGGGTTCAAGTCTCCAGGATTTGTGGAACTTTCATGTAGATTTCTGTGTGCAGAAGTGCTTTTCAGATTATAGAAGTTTCAATTTTATAAATATTGGTAAATAGAGAGTTGAATGCATTTTCCCGCTCTCCTTGGTGCTTTAACAAAGATGTTAATAAAATGGCCAAAATGGTTTGTTGGAATGATGAAAAAAGGCTATCAACAGCTCTGTATTTTTCTCTGTCTTTCTTCCCACTTACCCATCTTTTTAACAAGCTATAAAATAATGTAGAAGAAAAAATTATAAGCTTTAAAAATGGAGGTTGCTACAAATACAAATCATCTGGCATGTTTACTTCTAGAGCATTTTGCAATTTTTGACTAATTAATCCCAATGGTTGTTCCTCAGGGGAAAAAAGGGAGAGAGCATAATAATCATAATCCTTGCTTCATGCATTAAAGTGAAAAGAGAGGAAGTTCAAATTTTCTCCCCAAGGTCACATAGCAACTCTTTTGAAGGGTTAGCTATATAATTATTAGCTAATGATTAGCTAATCATATAATTAGCTAATAATTAGCTAATCATTAGCTAATAATCATATTACCTGGAAACCATGGACAGAGTCCTAATTTACATTGCCTTTTGGTTTCTTTAAAAGGCAGTGTTATGAATTATTTTTGGTCCATCTGATGTGTAATAAAAATCTGAGTAAGGGGAGGCATATCCTCAGTCTAAGTTTCAAAACATGCCCCAATTTTCAGCGTGATAAAGCTTTCATGATAAGTGAATTGCACACTCTTGAGGCTACCTGTAAGTATCTGTGTTAGTAAAAATGCTGAATAAATAAAGCAGTTGCACAATAAAAACCTAGTCTTTTTATTAGGCTTTTATGTGAATTGGTTTAGATGCTGCAGTACAGGACCCGATATTGGTAAAATTAATTGGAAAGTGTTAAAGATGTGCAGTGGAAGGTTGGATGTAAGATGCTCTTGTAGAAGAAAGATCATACTTCATACTCCATTAGAAAGTCTGAGTGAAAGAAATAACAAACACTTTCTAGTGACTACGAAAAGGTACACTTGGCCAGGTTAGCTTAATTTATCTTGAATTTTAAATAGGTCTGGGAATGCTGCAAAGTCCTGCAGCTGGTAATTTCTACTTGTTGGCAGTTCAGGTGTTGGCAGTTACAGGCATTCTGCAGTGAATTGTGATGAAGTGATACAGAGCATGAGAACAGGATTTTTTGTCATCTTTCCTTTTACTTGAGTCTGGGAATATATAATTTGTAATATTAAAGCAAAAGGTAGGTTCATACAGTCATGGAACAGTTGTAAGGGACCTTTGAAGGTAATCTAGACTCAAATGAGCAGGGCATGTTCAGATAGATCAGGTTTCTCAGAGCCTTGTCAAACCTGACATTGAATGTTCCCTGGGGTGGAGCATGTATCACCTCTTTGAGCAACCTGTGCCAGTATTTCACCACCCTCATTGCAAAAAATGTCATCCTTATATCTAGTTTAAATATATCTTCTTATAGTTTAATACTATTACATCTTTGTCCCATTGCAGCAGACATTGCTCATGTCCAACTTTTCATCCACCAGTATCTCAATCCTTCTTGGCAGGGCTGTTCTCAATCCCTTCATTCCACAGAGTGCATTGATTTTTGGATGGCTTGGCCTGGCCTGGCACAGGGGTAGGACCTTGTACTTGTGTCCTGTTAAAGCTCATTAAGTTGTCATGGACCTACTCCTCAAGGTTGTCCATATCCCTCTGGATGGCATTCCCTCCTTCAGGAGTGTCAGCTGCATCACTTGAGGAGTATTAGAGAGTATAGAAGAATTTGTAGAAGGAGTCTTTACAGCAGGATGAAAATATTGGTCTTGTACCAACATCTTTTACTATTGGGCCTTCCTTTATCTCATTTATACTTCATAATGTTGCTGTTTTTTTTCTATAGCTCACTATCTATGTCATACTTCTGCAGCAGACCCTTGAACTCTTCCTGCTTTTTCTTCAAACTTGTTATATTCTATCTAATCTTAACATATATGACTATATGGAGCCACAGAAGAGGTGGGAAATTATCGCCAGCCGGGGGCTATATACAAGTCACGGGACTGCTGTGGCATGCGTCTCAAGCTGTTTATTTTTTAGCATCAGTCTCATTACAGGGTTATGACAATGGGAAGATGCCAACAGCTCACATCCAGGCAACAGACCAAGAACTTAATGTTACAACTTTATAAACTTTTTGACCAGTCACACAAAGCTGAAGCATATTGACAGTAGTTCTATCCAATCACTATAAGCACACGTACCTTTGGTTAAAACAATGCTTCCTTATTTCGAATACAATACTTGTTTGTTAGCCTCAAGATACAATTCACAGAGCTCCATTATTGAGCTTAGACCTTTCTAATATCTCACTAGATATACTTTTCTGCAACTTAGGAATTCTACCAAAGCGTTAATACGCAGACTATTTTTCTGTTTGTCCTTTCTTTCTACATCTTGTATACTTTTTCTGCTGACAAATCTTATAGCTACTGCTTAGCTCTAATCACCATCCTGCTGTCTCTGAGGCCTGCCTTTTGCAATGTGCCCCAAACCCTCTGATTTTAAGGAATACCACAGGAAATGGGTGTATGAAAGCAATATGGGAACAGAGGTGCAGGGGAAATAATGCTATTAGGCAGAGAGAAGAAAAGAGAAGTTAAAACAAGTAGTGGGCCTTTGATTTGCCTGGAGTGATCCATGGTGCTTCTTCACTTTGGTAGTACATCACTTTACCTAATTTAGTATTGGTTATTTTTAGATGTCCTTACTACATACAAGGCAGTTGATGAGTACAAGTGGGATCATCTACAAATTACTATAAAGTTAGTGATAACAAGATTCTTTCGTCTTAACACTTGAATAGGACTGTGTATCTTGTATTTATTACAGTCTAACTTCAGAGTGGCCTCCCAGTGTATTGCACCTTAACTGCACTGTATTGTACATCTATTAAATCAGTGCATTCCAGAAAGGAAAATCGATGAATTTTAAAGCACATCCAAAATATTTACTTTGAGTACACACCAATTAGGGATCTTTCCTGAATGACATATTTGGACAGGAAACATTTTATTATTGCACAACAAAACAATTGAATTTGTACTTTGCTGAATTTAATTTAGCCTTAACTGTGACATTGTGGTTTATGCCTACTTAATGGGATTTCTGCTAATTAATACAATTAGTAAACTAGCTTGATCAAACTGAGCGCCATATGATAAATAAACTTCTAAAACTTCAAAACGACAGAGGTTGAAGACTCGTTCTTTTCTAAGTAAAATATGTTCTAACACAGAGTTTCTTTGGTGCTTCCTTTTCTGTCCTGAAAAACAAAAAGTAAAAATACCAATCTTTGGACCGAAGTTGAAATAGCTTTTATGCAGGTTTCTTCACTTAGGCAGTCTTAAATAAAAGCTGTGGTTAATTTATTGACAAAGGTTGAGAAATCTGCATTTGGAAGGAGATATTAAAAAAGGCCCAGAACTATACATATCTGATTTTTAGTAATTTTGCACCCTCAATCCTTCAACCATCTCTTGAAAAACTCTAGCCTTACTTTCCTTCATGTGCCTTATGGCTTTTGCTTATTCTCTTCCTGTATTTCTAGTTTCCTGCCATCTCTTGTTTGCCTTCTTTTCCCTCTTTCTTCTCTTTTCCATCCTGTGACTTTTATTGCAGGCTGTGAAAAAGCCAGCAAAATTCTTCAGCTAGTATTGAAATGTGAAATTGGAAGCATTAGGTAGAAGGCAAAACAGTACAAATAACTGTTGACATCACTGCACCACTCTTCCTTTCATTAATATTTGTACAACTAATAAGAAGTTAACACTGTTGATTTCCTACTCAGATGTATTTGAAAACAGTGTCAGAAAGTATTAATGTTCTTCGAAACAAAAAGCAGATGCATGGACAGTGAGATTACACAAGCTTAATTTACTCTAGAAAACTGATCTAACCCCTGTGTCTAATTATGTAAAGGTAAATTGTATATGTTAACTTTAATGGAAAATATTATTAGGTTACATATCTAAAATACATTGCAAATGTATATATTAACTATCCTCTTTTTTTAGCCCAAACTTATTGTAACAGCAAGTTTTGGAGTAGAACCGAAAAGGAAAGTGGAATACTTATCTCTCCTAGAAGCAGCACTGGCAAGGGTACAGAGCAAACCTCATAAAGTTCTCATTTACCAACGACCTAATTTGGTAGGTGTACAGTTGTACTGTCTTTATGTTAGCCTTCACTCATTTGTGTAGTGCATGTGCCTTTACTTTTTTGCAATAAATATTTTACTGTTTCTGTTGTAGTTTGTTTTTAATTTTAAGGGTGAGCATTATATTCATAAGATTTAAATACTAAATAGAACTAATGCAGTAGAGAGATTACAGAAAATTGAATAGTACTGTATAAAAAATTTGAATATTATATGTTTTTTTTTAAATGAATTCCATTTATTCCATGTAATTGTCTTTTGACAGTTCTCTTATTTTTCAATGGGCAGGGCCATGTTCCTCTTACCAAAGGCCGTGATCTTGACTGGGAAGAAGAGCTTGCAAAAGCCCAGTGTTCAAAATGTGTCTCTGTTCCCTCAGACCATCCACTTTATATTCTGTATACATCTGGAACAACAGGTTTGCCCAAGGTAAAGGACTATGACTAGTCTGTGACCAACTATTTGGAGTTCTCTGTGAAAAAATATTTAATTGAAAAGGTTGAAAATGTTTGCTAGAGCACAATGCTATAAATGATCCACATTCTACAAATTGTTTCTTCATTTGTAGAATCTCATTTCTTCACATTTCGCTATTTTAAAGGCAGTGTCTAGGAATAAATAATCGCTTTAAATTTAAATAGTAGTAGTATAAAGATGCATTTTCTTCAGTTGTTTGTACAAAATAAACTTTTGAGGATAGCAGAATGTCTTTTATTCAGTACTGTCTTCTGTGTTTTAACTTTCTTAGATAAGCTTAGTATAGTTACTTAATAACAAGACCAGTTAATATATCACTTGTGTGATAGCATTGATTGCTGACTAATCTTGTTCATTATTTACATATTAGCTAATTTTCTTGTAGATAAGATGTGCTGAATGACATTACAGATTAAATGAAATAAAGCGTGTTCTGAGTGCTTATGTTACTGAACAGTTCCGAGTACATAATACCCTGAAAATAGAAGTTAAGTGAAAATTAACAAAGGGTATTCTCTGAAAATGTTTACTTTTGAATGTAAATTAGTTTTTAGAATGTATTTTTAAAGGATTGTATTTAAAAAGTTAACTCTCTGAGTGTTTGCCTGGTACTTAAAATGCTTATTTACAATGTGGAAGACAAACTTAATATAATTTTCTGGCGATAGTCTTACCACCATTGATTCAGAAGCTCTTAGGATGTAATGGAAAACAAACATCAGTTTTGCTGAGAAAAATGCCTTCTGCTTTTACCTTCAATGTGGGCCCTTGAAAGCAACATATATATCCTAAATCATTCAGTTGTATTGTCAAAAAACCCAAGATAAGATCCTTTGTTACAACAGATATTTTCCTTGACTGAGTATCAATGTAGTATCTCAGAGGTGATAGGTCTCAGAAGTTTACTTCACTGTGTTGTCTCTGCAGAGAAAAGTACAGACATCTTAAATCAATCACCCTTATAAGAGAGATATTTTCAACTAGCAGTAAGCTATGAAAAGTAACTCTCAGTGAATAAAATAACTTTTTTATTTATTTAAGTAACTTAATTTTAATGGTCATGTAGGTAAAACTACTTGGTTTTGACCATCCTAAAAGACTTTTGTTGATACCAGAACAGAGGCTAAGTTAGAAGCTGAGTTGAACAAAGGGAATCTGCTGTCTGAAATTGGTGAAGTGTTTGTAAACCATTCTCTGCCTTAGCAATCTCCATTTTAATGAGTTAATGTATCTCCGCAGTATCTTATTTCTTGGATGAGGCCTGAAAGTGCCTATTTCATTCTGTTAAGTACATCGAGAGACTATACCATGCCTAGGACAGACAGACAGCTGCATTGTAATGTCTGCACACTGCATATTTGTTTGGTCCAGTGGATTTAATCTGATTTTTAGTTCAGGATACCAGGATGTAGTTTACTTAATTCTTCAAGGAATAATGTGCTAGAAGGTGATATTGTCAGTATGTCAATATGGTCAATATTTATTGACCATACTAACATTGCAAAATATGTCCAAAAGTTTCCTGTTAATGATGTTCCAGAATTGGTTTTGGTTTACCAAGGTGCACGATGCTGTCAATAATCTCTCATTCTAATTCTCAAATCCCTCTTTTAGCTGAAGACTGGGGTGGTATTCATTTAGCATTCATGTGTGCACTTCAGGCTAGATGAAAAAATTTCAAGAATATACTCTGACATCTTTAAAAATTTTAGAGTCAGAGCAGAAAGGGACATTTCAGGGAGTAACTCACGCCAGTTTTTCCAGGGGTCATCTACTTTGCAGGTGCGAAGATGATATAGATAGTGTAGGCAATGAATTTAAAATGTGCCTAGCATTGGGATGGTACAGTTTAAGTGAGGTAAATACTAAATCTCTTATTTTTTGTCAGTATATTTTGACTATTTGTATATCCAAATTTATGAGAGAATTTTAGCTTTGTTAGTTATCTTTTGAATGTTTGTTTTACTGTATGTTTGGTTTTTGTTTTCCATAGCTACTTCTTTAGTGGAAGTGTTAGTATGTGCTTGTTGGATAATATTCTTTTCATAAGTAAGAAGTATTTGAGCTGGATAAATTTAATTCCATTGCTATTAAATCATTAACATTTAATTGAACACAGCAATACGATTTTATCCTTCAAATCTTAATCTTAAATACTTAAATACTCAAATTTTCTCATTTAGGGTGTTGTGAGACCAACTGGTGGCTATGCAGTTATGCTGAACTGGACTATGTCAGCTGTGTATGGACTCAAACCTGGTGAGGTAATTATATTTAAATGTCATGTAAACATTTTTTAATACCTCTTAATACTCCTAACTATAATTTTGGTTATATTTCATTTTAGGTATGGTGGGCAGCTTCTGATTTAGGCTGGGTTGTTGGTCATTCCTACATTTGCTATGGACCTCTCCTTCATGGTAATACTACAGTTCTGTATGAGGTATGATTTAGTCTAAAAAACCCCCTTAGAAATGGCAGCATCTCCTCCAGCTGATGATCCAGATGATCTTGTTTATGCCTGTCTATTCTTTATGCCATAGATATTTAAATTGTGTGTGTATTTATACTCTCCAATCTATTAGAGTAATTTTTAAGGAAAACTTACTTCACAGTCCTTCAAGTTTGTCTATATTTGTGTGAAGAGTGATGGTTAGTGGCGTAAGAAACCCTGAAAGAGCAGAACTAGAAATGGCAAATGGTGGAGTGTACCTGGGTTATTGATTAGACTACTTGTATTTTGGAATCAGGAGAGTTTTGTTTTGCATGTCTTGTGATGAAAAATACCGGATCTTAGTTGGATGCAATTGGAAGTTGTATGCTTGGAACCAGAACTTGTAATGAGTGTTGTCTCTTCTTTCCTCTCTACCACTCGAGGAAACTGAACTCAAGGCACCAATGACATCTGGGGCTTAGTCCTTCCCTTCAGGGGATGAAACCTAGTGGGGTGGAGAGGAGACTAGTCCAGTGGGAGTGGCCTATGGCATCCTTATTTTGCTGCTCAAAAAAGTAATCGTACTGCCTTAATTTTTATTTTTACAGAATTTATTGCTGATTTTTCTGAATAAGAAAGAGGAAAAAACTTCACCCAGTAGCAGAAATACACATTTGCAGACTCAAATATTGTATTAGCTTGAGTACTAAATTACTATGGTCTAATTAATATTTAAGTGCCTAATAGATGTTAATTAGATTCTTCATTCTAAGGGGATTAACTCAGTACTACCACAATAGTTGAGAAGAGGAAACCAGTGTAGAAAAATTGGCAAATGCTTGTAGACAATAAAAATACTTCAGTAGTTTTATAGTGACTGCTTTTGAACACTGATGTGATAGGCTGCATTAAAATTATTGCATGAATTTTCAGAAGATAATCACTGCAATGAAGAGGTTTTCATTCTAGCAGGTGTAGAGTAAGCCAAGAAGGAAGTGGAGTAAGGAGTTCTTCAGTATTTTCTGTTGCATAGTCATCTTACAGTGAAGTTTTATCTCTGTGTGAATGTATGGGGATCAACGTAATTATTATAATTGTAAAGGCACCTCTGAGTTTAAACTGCTGTAGAAAAAAAGGAGTAAAAATTTTACTTTTTAAACAGTGAACATAAAGAAAAATTAGAGTTAGTATCAGGCTGACCTACATATCTGCTTTGTGATTTTTTGCTCTTGGTGTGATCACTATTAAACAGAAATAGTACTTTTGCCATTTTTCTTCTCCAAGATGCCACTAATCAAGGCTTCAGACAGTGTTTGTGACATAAGCGTCATCTTTTTGAGGGTTTATAATGGGCAGAAAAGGAATGTGTCTGTACACACAGGAATACAAGTAATATTTACAAAGAGAATAGTGCATAATTTTTCCTCTGCTCAGAAGACTGTATTAATAGTAAATATTCAGAAACTTTTAGTCAAGTCTCTTAAATGGTTGCCTAATTATATATTTTGGGTTATGGAGTATCACTGTTTAGTCATGGGGAAAGAACATCGCATTCCTTTTGCTTGTGGCCCACCACTATTGAATGTAAACTGTGCTGATTTCATACCCTCACTACTTTAAGTGTTTTGTTTATTTTTAAATTACTTAGGTGACACCTTGTCATTTTAAAAATTACTATGGAAATAATGCTTTTAGTTTTCACTTGCTGTTACACCATTTTCAGACTGAAAAAATAGTGATGAATTCTTTTGAATACAAAAACAAGTGTATTTTTTGTTTTGGTTTGTTTGGTTTAAATAATCTGTCCTGCTTTGTTTTTTCTCCAAAACAACAACAAATAAGCTGCTTGAAGTCTCACAGCCCACTCTTATGTTGCTCTCGCTAATAGGGTTTCAAGCAACAGGGCAGTATTAAGAGAAAGTCTAGTTGCTATTTATGGTCCTGTGAAAAAGTAGCATTGTAGTTCCAGTGTTTGGGACTAGGGTAAGCAAGAGGATACCCACACTTTTCAAGCACCAGGCATTAAAGACTTCATTTGAGTGGTCTAGGTCAGAGAATGACCTACTATCCCACACAGAGCTGTAGCATCTTTGTGTGCCTGGAGTCTTTCACAAGGCTCTCTGGAGTTCAGTAGTTGCAGCAGATTTGCAGGATATATAAGAACAACAGGTTTGAAATTACTCTTCTTTGGCACAGTTCTTGGAGATACCCAGCTTTCTTGCTGTTTTTTGTAAGCCAGTATCATCAGCCTACAAAGCAAACACTGTCTCTGAAGTCTGGCAAGGATCACTCTGTCATCACCCATACTGTCTGTGGAGCAAATTCAGTAGCATGTGTTGCCTCAAGTCTTCAGTGGAGCTTTGGCAGCAGGGTCACTATCAGAAGGCTGAATGTCTCTGTGAGCATATTCTTTTGGATCCTGATATGTCAGGATTTTGTGTGTGCTTTGGCATCAGCAGGTTTTAGTGGCATGCACTACATTTTCTATACAGAGAGAATTTCCTCATAATTTTGGATTTAGTGGTAATTGAAGAACAATTAAAGTTGTTGTTAGGGATCTAGAAAGGGAATTGATGCACTCTTACTCCAGCATTGTTGGACATTTTATTATAGCTCTTCTTCTGTGTCTCTTCCTTCTAGTAATCTCTGCTTGTGGCTTCTCACTTTATCCATACAAGAACTTTCCTATCCCCTTGCTAATTCTTGGTGTCTGTGAAACTTATTTGATAATCATGTGTGAAATCATAAATCATCAGCACATTTTGCCTCAGCATGTCTGCTTAGCTGTTTGACATCTCATAAATTGCATGCTAAATCTAAGTGCTTCAAGAAAGATGTTCCTGTCTGTTTGTCTGTCTCAGAGTCTCTTGGTATTTTCTGTGGGAATCTTCCTAGCTCATACAAGAAATGTCTGTTCTTACTTTCCTCTTTTAAATTAGGTGAGACAGATCACTCTCTTTCCGACTGTCCTGCTCCCATTTACTGTGCTCTCATTTCCTGTCAACCATAGATATTATTGCCAGTAACTTTTAAAAATCAATTCTCTTTCATTTTCATGATGTGAATACTGAATAGCAACAGGTCTCAAACTTGATCACTGCAGAAATCCAGCGGAAGTATCTCATTTGTTCAGTCCCCAATTGACTCAGCAGTCTGTCAACATATTCTGAATTCAATTACCCTGTGGTTTACTGTTTATATTGCTAACTTTTAAAAATAAAAATTGCATGTGGTAATAAGCCTTCATGGAATATGGTAGTACTTCTTAAAATTTTTGTATAATAAATGACTATTCTTTCTGGAGATCTTATTTGTAGGTTTTGGGCTCTGAAATGAATTTGCACTCTCTCAGATATGTGTTACAATCTTATAAGGGAGATTAATTAAGGTGCAAACAAGACCATATGCCAAAGTCAATAGTATGGATTTTATTTATCAGTAAATGTGAGGTAGAAGGAAATATAAAAAAGAAGAGGGGGAAAGAAAGGGAGACAGATTAGGGGAAAGTAAGTCACCACCCCTGTTGATCCAGGGTGTCCTGTTCATCCTCTTCTTCTGTTTTTCTCCCTGGTGGGTGTCCCATGAAACACAGAATTCAATGGGTATTAATATACATTCAAGTGTACATGGGAATGCCCAAGTGCCTCCCCTTATGAGGGTGTTTTACATTGTCTTATGCAGCAGAGTCTGAATCTGTTGAAAAACTTCGAATCACTTGCAGTTCTCTGGTATAAAGCCTGAGGAATGAGTTTGGGGACCTTTGGGGATCTTTGATGGTTCATGACCCCTTCTTAGACATGAGAGTCGCCTCTCATGTGGTTGTCTCATGGTGTGGATGTTCACTCTCTTGGTCTTATGTGTGGGTCTCAGATTCAGTCAAAGAGAGAAACGGGAGTTTCTAGCCAGGCAGAAGCCTGGGAAAGAGTTGGAAAAGAATCTAAATAATTCTCTATCTCTCTTGTTATTCACATTGTTTATAGTTAAGTTCTATCACTATGCATCAAGCACTTTGCACCAATGCTGTGGCTTGTTTTCACTTTGGGACCAATGGAGTTGGTCCCCGTGAAGCTCTGTATAAAAGAGTAGTGTATTTTGAATAAACCAGAGTTTTACTCTCAGCAGCCTTCTGGTCAGTCTCTTCATTCCCATCCTGCCTCGACAGTGACACTTATGTGGACCAGAGGTTTTGCCATCACACTCCCAAAAACTCACCTTCTCTCTCTTGGACACATTCTTCTTTCCCAGCCCTGTTTACTTCTCCTTAGACCTGAGGTAGTTGGACAGCAGTGCCACCTTTATCTTATCTCAAGTTCCCTGTCAGGTAGCTTAATTCACAGTCCAAATTCCTGTCAGGAGGCATATTTGAAGAGATGGACTTGGGTTGCAGATGAGCTTCTTTGCACACTTTGCTACAGTGGGCAAAGATCTTAAAAATGAGCCATTAACCATTTCAGTATCACAGATTATATCCATTTTTGTTTATCATTTGCTAAACTCTGAACAGCTTCCAAGGAACTTGGGAAGTTTTTCTGCAGAATCTGTAAGAATATTTTACACCTGTGCCAGATTTGGGTTTTTTTTTCCTAATTCTCTGGGTTATATTTCCTATCAACTGTCAGGTAAATTTTCTCTTCTTTCTACTGTTTGTGTTTTATTTTGTTTTCTCCTATATCTGAGACTGGTAACTCCAAACCTAAACTGCTTTAACTTACCTGTGACATAAATATCCACCTGTCAGAGTCCTGCATGTTTATCCAAGCACTCCTGAAGGCTTAACAGTTGGTGTAGAAGATACTGTCAGGTTCAAGCTTGCTGGAAGTTTGAGGCACAGGCATGCCTGTGACATAACTCAGGCAGAGGTCCGGTGTGAAGCAGGATCTGGGAGGGAGTGGGTGTGCTCAGGACCACATAGCCCTTTTATGGGCTCTGGATATTTACATTTGGTTAAAAGTAACAGCCTACGTTATTACTGCAGACTAACCAAGTTCAGCTTGCTTCACAGCTAGGTGTTTTGGTGTCCAAGATGATTGATGCTAGTTCAAGTACATATTTACTTAATGAGAAGCTTGTGGCAATCTGGGGTTTTTCCAGAGTAAGATGCTATTTGTTCTAGCACTAGTGATGCGGGCTTGAACTCTTAACCAGGTGTCTACAGATCTGCAGGTATAGTGAATATTACAGGGAGAGAGTGTCAACTTGAACAAACATGTTCATGAACAAATACTGATGAACACATGAAAGTTGTGATGAAGCGGTCTGCTAGAGTGATGTTTCAAGACCATCTAGTAAAAGATTTTTCTTTGTGTACTGTGTGTTATCTGACAGGAAAAGGGACTCACTTTTTAACAAGCATAATTTTGCATTTCTTTTTGTTAATTAAGGATAGGCTAATTGCAGAGAGAGGGCTTTTGGTGTTGATTATACTACTCTTCTACCTGGGCTGGAAATTTATTTTCTCTCCATTTGTTTCTTACTGCCTGCTTAATGCTTTTTAAAAAATGGCTTTTCAATTGTGCATTCTATTTTGTCTTATTTTTAAAATCTTTTGTGGTGCTCCTCTTTTTGAGAACGCCTCTCACCAGGACCAGTATCTCACCACAAAGCTGCAAAACCACTGGTACATATCCAGCCTTGGCTGTCCTGTGTTCTTTGAATCTGATTAATGGTTCACCAGTGCTCTTGCCAGTGTTCAGGCCTAGCTGGATGCAGTAGGAAAAGTGTGTATCTCTCGATTTGCGTACTCTCTCAAAGTTATTCTTCCAAGTGTGGCCTTTCTAGTGAGAAGGTTATGGTGATACCTGTGGAGCTAAAACTCATTCTACATTAACATCACTTTCTAATTTCAGAATATGTATGGAGCCGTTCATGCAATGTGGTAATTACACTTACAGTAAGATTGTGACTATATGATTCTCTTCTGATTGCTTATCATATTTTCGACACCACAAAAAAGCATTCTTGATTATTTTTTGTTAGGATTACTTACCGTTGAACAATTTGTCATAAATGATTACTTCTGTTTACAATTTGACTATGCCCCTTAGCTACCCCAAACCAGACCACAGTCTGGTAGCACATTAAAACAGAATAGGGGCCCTTCAGGATCTCTCAGGATCTCTCATGTGGGGTAGCATGAAGGTTCCAAAAAGTCAGTTGTAAGCAGGTAAGTGGGAATCTTTCCAGATTTGAGAATAAATTTTAGGTAAGAAAAAGCTGTCTGTGCATGGGAGTATAGCTGCAGTGCCACTGTGTCCAGAGACTCCTTGTTCAAGAGGGAGTGTGGGTGGTCTCTGATTGCATCTCAGGGTAGATATAGACATGACTCTCTCTGCTGCCAGTGCAATAGTATATCTTTGTGTCTATCTTTTCATTTGCATGTCCATTTGTCCTAATTTTCTAAGTAGTAACTAGTATGTGCTATGTTCATGTAAGGCATGGCTCCCAAAGCTCGTGAATTTATTTCTACAAGTGAACACATTCATGGTATTATTATTTTCAACAAAGCCTCCTTTGAAGTCTTACTTGAAATTACTTCTGTTGCTGTGCTACCACTACTATTACGTGCTCAAGGCTTGAACTGTCAAGGAATTATGAGGTATTTTTATCCTGTGACATTTTAAATTATTCTCTCCATAGGGGAAGCCTGTGGGAACACCAGATGCTGGTGCCTATTTCCGTGTGCTAGCAGAGCATGAAGTAGCTGCCTTCTTTACTTCACCAACTGCAATTAGAGCAATCCGTCAGCAGGACCCTGAGGCAGCCTTGGGAAAGCAGTACTTGCTGAAAAGGTGAAGTAAGGATACGTTTGAAGCAGTTTTTTCCAGAAGGAGGCTGCATGAACTAGAGTAACAGAGTATATTTTGCCCACCTCTGTAGTGTGCCATTTTAATCTATTCTTGAAAATATAGGTGTACACATATCTGCTTGCAAATTTCTGCTGATAGTTTTGAGGAAATAAAGGCTGTTAAAAAGTCTGACTCTAATGTTAAGAGCTTTTACTGAGTTAGGATTCCTCTCACATCTTTTACTTTACTCCCCTGTGCTTATACTCTGTAATACAGTCTTGGATTATGTCATCCCATACTGCTTTTTCCACATGACCTCTCATATTGTTAAGGGCACAGAATCTTTAGTGTTTGTTTAATCAGAAGCTAGTCATTGTTTTGGTAGCTCTTCCCAAACTTCATTATTGTTTCTGGTTATGTGTCCAAAGAACTATTTCCTGTCTTGTATTTCTTTTAAGGTGCTTATCACTATACTATCAGCATGCTTCAAAGTCTTAGCTGAGTTCATGCTCATAAATCCCCTGTGAGGTGAGAGAGTGGTATTATCTGTATTTTGCAGATGGTGAGCTGAGTCAAAGAGAGATTAAGGTCAAAGTCTTCTGTTAGTTTGAAATATCTAGTCTGAGACACTGAAATACCACTGTGTCAAAGATTGAAGTATTATATGGTTAAAATGCGATATTAGCATTATATTTATGAAATGCTTCTCATAGTAACTTGGGTCTGCGAGTGTTCAATACTTCTACACGTCAAGTTTCTGTATCTTATGTTAAACATTCTAAAAATGAAAAATACATGGGTTTGGACCCCATCTGATCTTGAAGTTGAATGATTTGCTCAACATCAAACAGGGATTGTGTCAGACAGTATAGGCAGTATTCAGTCACAAGAACATGTATTACCACTCTTGTTCAAAGAGAAGGGGAGCTTCTTTAGACCTCCACATTCTAAATTGCTCAGGAAAGTTTATTATTAAGCTGGATTTTTTCATGAGGTATTCCTTACAAGCTTATCTTGTAATGAATTACTTTCTTCCATCTGTTTTGACTGCTATCATCAACCCTTACTCCTCCTTGAAATAAGAAAGAAGCTCATTTGAGACATGAATATGCTATTGTCCTATGGCATTTATTGACAAGAAAGTGACTCAGATTCTAGAAAATTTAATTGCTGTTCCTTGGCATTTCTTAGGCAATTACTTTGTCTTTAGAGTATTCATTCAATGGGAAATCTTCTTACCTGGCTTGTAAGTTGACACATTCTCTGGCCAGATAAGAATTCTAGATAAGAGTCTCATTGCAATATCTGCTGCCAGAGGTATAAAGAGGTATTTCGTCATTCCTATTCAGTCATATCAAATGAGCTTCTTCACTTGTCTGCAGCTTTAGTTCTCTCATAATTCACTCAGCTTTGGACCATGTAGTTTACTGGGATGTGATGCCTCTTTACTAAACCCTCTAATGCAGCATTTAATATCTAGTAGGTACAGTTGTTAAGAAAGTCTATCAAGTGATTAAAATTTCCATTCTAGGGAAATACTTGGGTTTGGGTGTTACTTGGATAGACTTTTTTATTAAAGGTTGAGTGATTTCTGTCTGATTCAGTTTGAAAGCAGTCTTACTTTTAGTTCATTTACTTGATCGATGATGCTTTCTTCTTTGTTATGTGGTGAAGAATCTTTGAAATGCCTTTCTGTTTAATGCATTAAAACGGATTCTTACTTTAGAGACTGCATCTAGGAATGCAATCCTGAAAGAGGTTTCCACCATGGTACATTTTATTTCTGAAAAGTTCTGTTAAATAAATGGTAAAAGTTAATGTCACTTAAAAAAATAATGTTAAAAAAGACAGTTACTGATGAAGAAAGGAGGTGGTGGGATGTTTGTGGCATCACTGGCCTCTGCACAAAATTATATATATGAATTTTCCAAAGGTTCTGTTGTGAATGCTTTAAATTTCTTGTTTCTATTGGAGCTAAATCTTGACATTTCTTTGGTTTTGACACAAAATGCCCCCTTTGTCTTAAACACAGCTCATGCTTAATGTAAAACCGATGTTTAGTTTTTAGTACTGTAGGTCAAGAGCTCTGTTCAACCATGTATTTATAGAGCTCTAAAGACATAGCTTTTGAAAACATCCAGTGCTGCTGAGCATCGCTGCCTGTCATATTGGAAGAACAAGTAACACCCAAAATCTATGAGCTTCATCTACCTAATGATATTCTGTTCAGCTCTTTGAATCCATTCTCCTCTTCAGAAGTTAGCTTCATAATACCAAGCTGTTAACTCTTCACATATTTGGAATCACATTTCATCTTATAGTTGACATAATTGTTGTGAAATTGTTCTAATTTCCAAACAATTGACAAGTCATGGTTTTGCAAGAAATGGGGCAACAACTCAGCAGTTTAGATTAACGTTCAAGTAATTTGTCATTTGTGTCCCATAGTCTACTTTGCTTGCTTGACTTTTGGTCGGTTGAGAATGTTCTGCAGTTTTACATCAAGAGTATTTAGAGATTCTAGGTTGTTCATCTGATGTGTAAAATATTCATTATTCATTATAAAGTATTCAAGTAGATAAGAAACTTCCATTACCTGTCTCATAATGCAGGAACAAGAGGATGTGAAATTAAAGTAGCAAATTCAAAACTATTAGAAGAAAACACTTTCTCATAGAATTGGCATTTCACAAATGTTGCTAAGAGGATATGTAATTAAGACCCACAACCAATTACAATTGAAGTACGTAATGCAGTTCTGCCTGCTTCTCTCTGTTCTGTGCTGCTGTTGATCATACATGGCTCTTCCTGGTGAAGTCCTGAATTGTGCTGATCCTTTGTGGAGCTGTGCTGCAGTTGTGTTCTGTGTCTTTCTCTGTGACTCTGTCACTAAAATATCCAGTGCTTGGATTCTCATATTCAAGGTAAAATCTGTTCAGGGAAGGAAATGAACAAACACATCAATGGAGAAAAATCAGAAGATGTGAAAACATTTTTTAAAATTTTGTATCTTTAAATAAATAATCTAAAAATATTAATATATATGTGTGTTTATATATATACACACATACGTATTTGGTCTCCATGTGCATTAAAAATTAGTAAGAATTCTTTATTTCCAGTTAATGTTTAGAGGTACAAATGAATCTTCATTGGTGTATTTTTAGGAAAAAAAAAAGCTTCTATAATATCATGCAGATAGAGTTTTTCTTTGCCAGACTACCTCCCCCCCCCAACAAACTGGTGTGTGCATTCCAGAATTTAAAAAAAAGAAAAAATTGTTCCAAAATCTTTTAATTTGGAAAAGTGAAGCTCAGATTATTACCCATATGAACTTTTAAGCTTTTGGTAAATAGCTTGAAGATGTGGTTTCTTCTGTGCTTGGAGTGACACCAAAATGTATGTGCTGTGTTGAACAATATTTATTGCTTCAGGATCATTAGGAACATTGATCTGTCCCCTGTATGTCAGGTGATATTCTGCTAAACTTCTGTATAGTGCCTAAAAGCTTGTTGTGCTGAATTTCATGTTAGGAATGTAGGTTTTCAGAACAGCTGAGGACATTTATTTAACAGAGAGGCTTTAGGACCTTTCTTCTCAATTAACTGCATTGCAGGGATAGATGATTGCAGTAACAGGTGGACTGACATGCTTTGAAGTTTTGAGTGGGCTTTTAAAAAATTTGTTCAGTTGGACATTTCATAGCCATTGCCATCACTTGTTTTGCTATACTGGTTTGAGAGGAGAAAATAATTCCATGGTTCTTATGCTTAGACATATGGCCCTTTTTTCCCATACTCTTTTTGATGGTTTTGTGCTTTAAAGTTTGCCAAAGAGCTAATTTTTCTTCTTCTTATAACATAAAGATGATCTTAAGCCTGCAGATTATTAAATCTGATTACTGAAGCTGGCAATTCAAAAGAAAGGAATTTTGCTTTTGACTCAGGGGATAACAAGATATCTTAACTTTTCCCTAAGTCTTATATGTTCTTGGTGTTTGTCTAATTTGCTTTCTGAATTTTATTTCCATGGAAAGATGAAACTCGTAGTCTTTCTAAATTATATCCCCCTGAAGTGATACTTGTGTCATACTGACCAGATCTAAGAATTCTCTCTTTTTGTGGCTACAGATCTACTGGTTTTACAAAATCACTGCAGTTTGTGTCCACTTTTGAAGGACCAGAGTGAAGTTTTGTGTTCAGGAGTTGTTTTAATTCAAAATGTGCTGAGGAAAGACTTAAAGTGAAATAAAATGTCAATTACATGCATCTGGCTGTGGGAGAATGTATTGCAATGCTAATGACGATATCTACCTAGTTTCTGTGTACAGAGCATTTAATTATTTTTTACCTCAACTGACAGTTGCTTGCCTCTGGTCTCCCAAGGTCTTTGCATTCAGCAAATAAAGTTTATTTTACATAATGAAGTATTAAGTAGCTTAAATTAATGCTGCAAATATTCTAGTTGTTACTTAGTAGGAAAGAGAAAACAAAAAGTAAAAATCCTCCTTTGTCTTTTCCCTTGATCTGGGACAGTGGCCAGAGACATGTTTTGCATTCATTATCTTGTTTTCCTTTCCATATCCAGATCAAGATACAGACTTTATTTTTATTTAAAGGTTCAGGATGATGTTTGTAGCTGGTGAGCACTGTGATGTGAACACACTAGAATGGTCAAAAAGAGTCTTCAAGGTACCTGTCTTGGACCACTGGTGGCAAACTGGTGAGTGGTTTAAAATACCCTTTATAAAATACAGTGAGGAGAGTATTAACAGACTTGTTTCCTGAGTCTGAAGGTAAAATTGTTTTTTCTTGCCATGAACATGTAAATAAATGTAAAAAAAAAATCAAGCAGGAGGAATATTTTTTTGGAAGTGGTCTAAAAAGTGACTTCAGAGTATTTTTAGAAAAACATGACATTTGTAAAGCTATATAAAAAAAGAAGGTATTTTCTTGTACCCATGTTTAAAAAAAGAAGTTTGTATCAGTATTTTTCCAGGGGTGTTCTATGTTGTTTGCATGTGTGACCGTTGTGTGACAGAATGTTTGCTGTTTAAGGCTTAAACCTAAGTTTTTTTGCATGTGTAATTTGTATAATTGAAAACAGATAACCTGCTGCATAGAGTACACTTCTTGGTCTTTAATAACGTTCTGTATGGATATCATCCAACTTCTAGTGATTATTTTAGAGTGTTTCCCATTTGTTTCACTGCAATGAAGGAATCACAGTACCAATCTATGGATAACTTTGCAAAAATCCTAGTTGAATCCTGGATTAAGTCTTGATCAGATGTATCTTGTTATAACTGTGGATTCACATATCTTTAAATTTCACTATTAGAAGACTGTTTGGATTTTGCTTCTTACACATTGCTGATTAAACAGTGAAAATGTATTACAAAAGCTTGCCCCTTTCCCTTTCACTTTTCCTTTATCTATACCTCTTGTGTTTTCTGTGAATCATTGATTTAAGATATGTGGTCTCTTTCCCTATAAAGAAAAACCTTCTGAGTTTCTCCCATGATAGATCAAATAGAAGCTATAGAACATTAAAGGAAAGTGAGAAACTGTTATTTCATCTATATATTATGCAGTTAAGTCAGTTGAGGGGGCTTAAAATGCATTGTTTTTATTAAAAAAACCCCAAACACAATCTTGGATAAATACTGAAAAAGTTCTGGAAGATATTAGTTTCATTTTTTATTTAACCTGTATTTAATTAATTAAATTAAACCCAGATTAATCTGCTGATTAGCTGATTAATACAAGGCAAAAGACCTCTGTTTCATTCAGTTCACTATGATCCTAATGTCTGTAGGCAGGCTTGAATGATGCAGAATGAGAAATTAACTGAAAAGGGCTAAAAAACTTAACTGAAATTAACTGAAAAGGGCTAAAAGAGATAATACATTTGATAAATTGCTGAACTGTCAATAATCAATGTTACTATATGTAATTTTGCACGTGGTTTTATCTGTTTATGCCGATATAAAGATATATATTGCATATAAAATTGCCATAGCTTTTGCATATGTTTAGTGCAAAAGTTTCGTGTTACAGTGTTCTTTCAGATGTATCTCAAGTATGTAAATATCAATGAGAGATTTTAAGCATATGGATATAATACACACTGTATAGAGGTAGGACTGTGTTTTAGACATTTTTCAAAGAAGACCAAGACTCAGCTCAGACTACAGTGTGTTTCTTGATTTGTATATTCAGGGTGTGCTCTTAAATTGAATTATACTGTGGCTTAATGAACTAAGGCCATTTAAAATACAGTGTTTTCATTGTGTTCAAATACACTGAGAGCATTTAATAATTTGGTTAGAGTGAAGACCCAAGTGATTTGTATGGAAATGTGAGCTATTGAATGAAAGCAAGGCCTTCAGTCTGAAGGAAAAAATGTACTAATTCAGTTCCTATCAAAGAACTGAACTTTAAGGGATAAGGATGTAAAAGTCACAGAGTGATTAGGTTAATGAGGACCTCCTGAGCTCATTTAACTCGGTCCCCCTTCTCATGCAGGGTCAGAGAGAGTGTTGCCCAGGATCCTGTCCAGTTTTGAATATCTCCATGGATAGGGATTCTCTGGCCGCTCTGGCCAGCCTGTGCTATTGTTTGACTGCCCTCACAGTAAATACATATTTTTGGGGCTCAGATGGAATATCCTAGTTTTAGTTTGTGCCTGTTGCCTCTTGTTCTGTCAGTGGGCATCACTGAGAAGTCTAGCTAACATTTCTTCAATGTGTGTAAATACTGGATGCATCCCAAGAAGGCCTACAGGGGTGCCTTCTGTGAGAAGCTGCCAAAAGCTTCCTTCATGTCTGGCAGAGTCAGTCCCTGACAGCTCCGAAGATGGATGTGCTGCTAGTCATGCCTTGGCCAATTAGAAATGGTGGTAACATGGTAATATGTGATAACATATTCAAAAATGAGGAAAAAAAAGTTATTGCATAGCTGTAATTGCAGCCAGAGAAGAGCGGTGTGAGAACATGTGAGAGAAACAACTCTGCAGACACCAAGGTCAGTGGAGAAGGAGGGGCAGGAGGTGCTCCAGATGCTGGAGTTGAGATTCCTCTGCAGCCCATGGTGCAGCCCATGGTGAAGTAGCTGCCCCCTGCAAGCCATGGAGATCCACAGGAGGCAGGGATCCACCTGCAGCCCATGAAGGAGACCCACACCATGGAAGGGGATGACCGAGGGGAAGTTTTGACCCTGTGGGAGGCCCATGCTGGATCAGGCTTCTGGCAGGGACCTGTAGATCCACGGAGAGAGGAGCCAATGCTGGAGCAGGTTTCCTGGCAGGACTTGCTACTTGTACCCTTTCCTTGATTTCTTGAACTGTGGAGAATTAAACAAGGCTCCAGAAATGGCCTCACTAGGGCTGAGCAGAGGGAGAAGATCACCTTGCTCAACCTTCTGGTCACATTTTTCCTTATGTACCCCAGGGTGCCACTGGCCCTCCTGGCCATAAGGGCATTGGGGTCTCATGGTTACCTTGTCATCTGCCAGGACTCCTGGGTCCTGGAGCGCAGCAGCCATTGCCTCAGGTGAAAGCAGTCTTCCCTTCTCTTCACTCACTTCTGCTTTAGCAGAATACAAAATAGATGCCATTAATTGCAAAAAAACAAGCAGTTCTGTCACATTATCTGTCACATATCAAAATGTTGAAAGTGGATTTCTGTGCTGGAAAAGCCATTTCAACCAAACAGTATTGGATTTCAGTACATGGGGTTAAAGGTGTATGTACTGAATGTGAAATATTTTACAGAATAGATAACTGGCTATTTAATTTATTAGAAATAGGCAAGGTTAGTGATTGATAACAGTGTAAGGACCCACAGATTCAGCAATAATAATTTGCTGAACTATCTCCAAAATAAAAAAAGTGGCATGTTAAAAAAACAATAAAAAACCCGAATCACTTCTGTCAGGAGGAAGTTTAGACTATTAGCTGTATTATGTAGAACTAGTAAGTTTTTTAAAATGTATTTTTTAATAAATGAATTCTCTTTTTTTGCCATTTAATTGTAGCTGAAATTATAAATTGCTGGCTTTATACACTTCCAATTGAAAGTTTCTGACTTACTTCTGCATATGAAAATGCTTTTGACCTTTGCTAGTCTGAAAAATTGGTACTTATTCCCAAAGCTGATATTTATCTGCATTCTTCCAAAACAAGAGCATTGCAAAACTCTGAGAAATTTGGACATCTTAATTTTGCCCAAAAACTGTAGATCTTAGGCAGTTATGTTGGCTCTTTGAGCTGAGACTAAAGCAGAAGATGGAGGAGAAGTATCTGGGTAAATAATCTTTCTTGCATAATGGAGTGATTTCTATTCCTTTGTTAATGACTGAGAAAGTTAAGGAAAAGATGAGTTTTGTAGAGATGAGAAGTGACTGAGTCATCATTTGAAGATGGAAATGAGAATGGGGGAAATGAAAGGCTGACAAAAGTATTATAAAATAGGAGTGTTAACCACTTTGTACTTCAGGTTTAGTAAGATGTCTTCAAAGCTCTTGGCTTCTTTGCCATATTTATAACTAGAAATAAATTAGTATGGACAAAGAAACTTGGATTTCTTTAATTTGTTCTTGAAAGATTTATGGTGTGTAGTTAAAATCACTGTGAACTGTAACAATACTTTGAAACAGAAGAAGGCTTTCGTTAAGGGACTTTAAAGCAGCTAAACCTGGAAAAGCTGATTGCTTAAAACTGATTTGTGTCAGTATACCTTCTTCAATAACACTAATTTTAAATGTTAATGTTTGTGTTACAGGTATAGTAAGCACATCTTACAAACCATGAAATACAAGTCACAGGATCAATGAGTGGCAAGGAGGATTTCAGGCAGTAAGGACTGGGAAGAACTTGCTGTTTTCTTTGGAGATATGGCAATGGATGAATGAATGTTTTTTTCTGATCCTCTGATCCTATGCTCAGCTGTACCTGGAGAGAGGAGAGTTTTGTTTGGCTTGGTGCAGGTGTTAAGTTTTTTGCTTATTTATACAAATTGACACTTAGCACTTCAATAGCAATTTTCATCTTCAAAGTTGTTGTGCAAACATAAGCAATTAATACTTTTGACACCCCTGTGAAGTAAGTACAGTTATTCCAGTCTTGCAGACATTATATGGGGAAAGAAGAGTATCCTGCCCCAAGATAGCCTGTAAGCCTTAAATTCAGTGTGAAAAAAAAGTTTGTTTTTTTTTTTTTTTCCAGAGAGATAATTTTTCTGGTCTTATTTACATATATTTTGTGATATTTTTTTCTGAATGGGAGCTGGAATGCACATTTTGGACTTTGTTTTCTCTCTCTGTGTAGTTATGTTTTTTAGTCAGTCTGTTTTAGTATTGCAGGTAGTTAAATTACAAGGATCCTTTCCAAATTTATTTGAAGTTGCCTAAACACGGTTTGGGTTGTATCTGCTGTGTGACTGCCCTCATTCTAAGGGAGGGGCCTCAACAGACAAATGTGAGTTTGGCTTACCTTGATTTTAGAGCTAGCTTTGAGTTCTAGAAAGAAAAACAAAAAAGGAAACAGCCAGGAGGTTGAGCTGTGGAAGCAGAAGACTCTTAAAGTTTGTGTTAAACATCTTCAGCTGTTTTCATGTTAGCTAAAAAATGAAACTCTGCCATATCACTTTTGACATTTTGAGAAAATGGTATGGTACATTTCCATTTCTTCATAATAAGTATAGGATATAAAGAGTTTTTTTT